CTGTGTGAGTCTCAGAAAGCTACTGTACAAGTCACAGTTCCTGCCCATTGGCTAGCAGCCACCCTGAGCATCAGGGCTGTGTCTGGAGAGAAATTGGCTTCAGTCCTTTGCATCATGGAAAATTTTGTAAATAAAAATCTCTTCTTATCCTTTCCACTTGCTCCCACATACTTGGCATTTTAGTGTTCTTCGTTTTTTTCAACCTGATATCTTCATGCTATGAAAACACACAAACTAATGTATTGTATTTAATTTTTCCATTGCCAGGATCTGTGGTTATGTCCTTATCATTCCACCTCATGCAGGCTACTTGCTTCCTCAGTCATACATGCACCCGGCAAGATAATCTCTAAGTATAAACATGCATTAAAAGAAAGAGGGAGTGGCAGTTATTTGTGATGCATAACACAGGTAAACCAAATATATTGTGAGGTTTACTAAAATTTATGTTTTCTAGCTAAGTTATTCCTAACATATGTTTAAGCTCATTTGTTGTAAACGTAAGTACCTTATGTGTATGTTTTATATAAATTAGTATCTCATTAACTTTACCTTCATATGGTAAAATGCTACCATCTAAAGTCTGTGTAGATTGTTTAAACTCTATTTCTACAGAACCCCACCCCATCCTGTGCTGTCTCATATCTATGGACACATTGTGATAAGATTACCTCTTGCCCAAAGCTAATACTATTGTGGATGTAGTAACCGTTTCATTGCTTGCTTTATAGGCAAACTGAAAATAAAAAGTTATTAATTAAAATATTTGAAGTTTTCCTCGTTATCATTTGGTACTACCATTTCAGTCACTATCCAATCTTTTTTTTTTTTTTCTGATTGAGATTCACACCTACCACATTATTACATTGCTCTGTTTAAATCCAGCAAACAAGTAATCAATTTGCTGACGTGTGTGCAGTACCATTCTTGCAGCAGAGACTTGGAAGGAGGGGTTGTTGCTAGGTAACCACATTTTCACCACCCAAAACACACAGCCTCAAACAAGTTCCTGCCCTGGGAAACACAGACCACTCTGTACTGGCTGTAGTGTTTACTTCAGAATGATTCTTTCATTGTTAAAGTGTTGCAGCCTTTACCTTCCTTACTTCAAACTCACTCCCCTACCCCCATTGCAAATATCTATATATATTTGGAGAAAC